TAATTAAATTATAATTACTTGATCCTGTAGAAATGAATAGAAGAACCGGTTCAGATCAGTTATTTGGAACCAGTTCAGACCGGTTAATTGGAACCAGTTCAAGAAACCCAGTTCAGACTGGTTATTTAGAACCGGTTCAAAGAACCCAGTTCAGTTCAGTTCTACTATTAGAACCGGAGTTATAGAACCGAAACCTAACTGAACTGAACCGCCCCATCCTTAGGGAACATAGGTAAAGTCTAAATTTGGTTGATGTTGTTACACAATTATTTATATAAATTTTCCAATAAAGTTCAATTAAAAAACGATCGACATTTATAAAATTTTTTTTTTACTAAATAACCTGTAACGAAACTTCACACATATACTTTTTCAAAGCTATCTTTTTATATGGATTCCTTGGATCCAAATGGATCCGAATGCCCACCAAGTTAGATAAGGAGTAAATTTTATATCTTTTACGATAATAACAGATAAGTGATTTATTAATTGGGAATTTTGTGGATATATACCTTTTTCCAATCATTTAAAAAGGAATTCACGTTATTATATATTTCACGTTTATAATATACTTCACATTAATGATAATTATACTCTAATTTTGATAGCATTCTATGTGGTATCCATGCTCACAAACTAAAACTTCACAATCACCAAGTTTTTTTTACATAGATCGCAAGCATTTAGCAATGGGATACACTATCTCCTAAGATAGCTAATTTATATCGGATTTTCTTGTATATACATGTAATTTATAAATATATAAAAAAAAATTATTATTCAATAAATATATTATAAAACTTTAATTTTTCAAATCGAAAAAAATTACATATATTTATATAAAAATTATTAAGATATATAGAAAAAATTCTCTAATTTTTATAGTGTTAATGTTCATTTACAAGTTTTTGTTTATAATTACATAACAAGAAAAACCAATGCTATTTATTATATCAATTGCAATACGTGATGCTCTTGATGCTGATAAATACAACCCAATTTCTAATTAATAAATTTATTTCGCATTTCAGCTATAATATAGCATAAATTTGCAACTGATTTCTTGCTTCAACTTTATTGTATATAGATCTATTATTAGGAACTAGTGCCTTTACTATTTGATTAAAAAACCCTGTAAGCATGGATCAGCTTCTTCAATTATTTGTTGAAAACAATTAGGATCAAGTTCTATGCTACCATTTTCTGATACTGATATAAAATTTTTGTAAGTATTGTAATTTGCTTAATAAATATATAACTTTTTGTTAATTCTGTAAAAAAAAGTAATATTAATATACATTGTAAAATAACATAAATTCATTAATATACTTACCACATATTATTATTTCTTTATTTTTTATTTGTTCCATAGGAATAAGAAGTTCTAACCTTTAGTGACAATTTGAATCAACAATATTCATATAATGAATATGATATAACTGTTGTCTGACTTTTAAATGTAAAGTATATAGATTCTATTTTCTTATGCTTTTTTATAAGTTAGGAAAGTAAATTAATAAAAATAATCTATTTGATTATTACAATTTTGTATATAATTCAAAATTATAATAAAATATGCATTCAGAACATCTAACTATAATAAAAAAATTTTTTACTTTATATATTACTTTGAAATATATCGAATTTAAAGAAACAAAATTAATGAAAATAAATAAATAAGATAATATTAAAATGAAATTTAAAATAATAAAAAAATAGTTTAAGAAATAAGTTTGAAATACTTTGGTAATCTTTAGAAAAAAAGTTTTTTATATAGAAAATTTTTTTTTACACAATAAAAACATTAGATTTTATAACTTAATGTAAAATATCAAGCAGTTATTATAATAATTATCAGATTATATGATCATAATTATGATTAAATTAGATCTTTCTAAAAAAGGAAGTATCAATTAAAAATATTTTAAAAATAAACAATTTCAACATGTTACTATTTTAAAATTCAAATAAAATTATACAAATAAAACCTATAACTTAATGTATTATCACTTTAGTAAATTTTAATTGATTAGATTTTGAGAATATGTATAATTATTCAAATTATGATTATTTCTTATTATTTATATAAGTATTATTCAGATTATATTGTACTGGTTAAAGATGAACCCATAATTATTTTCAAATTTTAATTGAATTACAACTTAATTACACTATAAGAAAATTTAATTGCATCACAATTGCAACTTAATTACATTATTTTTTAATTGCGATAACTATCTTTAGTACTGATAATATATATAAAGCATTATTATAAAAATAGTATAATATAGTATGGATTTTAGAAAATTTATTCTGATTTATACTATATTATTATTAGAAATTTTAAAATTATATTTCTAATATAAAGTAATTTTTTAATTTAATAGTATTTACTATATAAAAATTAAAATAATTTAATTACAAAAATAATAATATATTTTAATATAGTATATTTGTCTTTTAATAAAAAATGATTATATTATTATTATTATTTTATTGAAATAAAAAGAAATATAATTAATAATCAGCTAAAAATTTTAATTTTAAAATATTACAAACTTTATAATAATTTATTGTATTATCAATATTTATTATAAAAGACTAATAAATATCTATTACTTACATTAACAGTTGATTACATTTCAGATATCAATGCTGCATATCAATAATCAATAATTTTAAACACAACTAGTAAACATCCATTATCTATATCAACAATTGATTATACTTTAAATATTAATACTTTATATCAATAATCAATGATTTTAAACAAAATTATTTCACTATAAAAATGTAATTTCTTGTAAATCATGTGATGTTATATAATTATCTGAAAAAGGATTTTGTGTAACTAATTTTAAGACTTTAACTCAAATTTTACTAGAAGATAAAATCACCTTTTTTGGATTTATGTAATATTTCACAATTCTATAATTAATTTATATAGGGTAATCTAAACATAATACCTTATGACTGTTAATATTTTTAAATATATAGATTATTTTATATTAGTCTTATAATAAAAACTTTATATACTATCAGTATAGTATAGTACAATTCAAATTTTATAAAAAATACTGATCTATATAATATCATACTGATCTGACAAATCATATTATATTTCAATAATTAGATATGAAAATATCATATATAATTATTTAACCAAATAATCTTCAATCAATGATATCAAACTTTACCTATATTAAATCTGAATACGCTTATATTTAAATATAAGTTATATAACTATGTAATCTATAAAGATCTACATCTAATTAATTAAAAGTTGCAGTTAATACTATTTTAGAAAAAAATTAAAATCTTTCTATTTAAAGGTTTTGATAGTTTCAATAGTAGATTTTACAAAATATTTGGCAATCTAATGTATTATATAATTTGCTAATAATTTATTAAGCTTAATATAATATATCTATTTATTTTCTATTATATAATTATAATAATATAAGTAATTTTATATGATTATATAAATAAATTAATACAAATTTATAATATCTTTATTAAATTAGTATTTTTTTTAGATAATTTACTACAAAAATATAAATGAGTCTATAAAATATGTTGAATATTTATTTTATATTCTATTAATATTTATAAAATAATTATTTTAGTAATATATAATTTTTTTGAATTATTTATAATATAATAAATATTCAAAAAATTTTACAACCTTCAAATGCTTTTAATGGTTACATAAATATTATTCAATCCAGAATTTCATCTTCCCTGATAGATATTGTTCACAAAATAGCTGGCAATAAAGAGCGATACCTCTCTATTATTTTACGCTCGCTACTTTTCTTCCATCAAAAGCTATACGATGACGTCTAGAAATATCATTGCAATTTAATAATCACCAAAAAGCGTTCAATAGGTATTACTAAATAAAATAAGCGTAAATGAAGTACCAGTTCACCCCTGCCTCACAAATAGATATCAAGCCTCTCTTTTAACTAGGAGACTTGAATACACCTTACAAACAAATTTGGCTATGCGTTCTCAGATTTTTAGATAGGCACTGATGTCTTTTTTATCTTTTTTTGCTGATGTTAATTTTCATTAAGTATGTACTTAGTAGAGTTGATGGAGGGGAAAGACGATGTTAGGTCAATTCAAACAGGTTTGCAATATAACTACAAGGGATAGCTAGTACTTAGCATAGATTTATTTTCGATTTACTTTGTATTTCCTTATATATAAATTTAATAAAGTTACTAGCAATGCTACATCGAAAAAAAAAAAAAATTTTACGTCTAATTCAAATATTTGAATTATATTTTATTTTATTACCTTTTTAAATTTTATAAACTTTAAGAAAAAAAGAAAGTAAGGCATAGTTATTAAAAATATATTATTTTTATTAATTAAGCAAACAAATGTATATTATATTTAAACTAATTAATTTTAAGTAATTACAAAAAAAAAAAACTTTAAATTCATTTATTTAGTTTCTTATTATTATTAATTTTTTTTTTATATAAATAAGGTATTTATATTTAAGATATATTAATATTAATTATTTAAAATTTATTTCATAATAGATATAAACTATACTATGATCAACATAACAAGTGAGCAGTTAATTCAAACTTATAATAGGATTTCTAAAATCTTAAATTAAAATTTAATTATATTATTAAAAAAATATATAGATTATCACAAAATATTTAAATTAAATTCTAAAGTTATAATTTCATAATATAGAATTTAAGATTAAAATTAATTAAGATTTTTTTAATCTAATTTAAAAATAATTGATAAAGTTAACAAAATTATTAAAGTTAAATAATATAATAAATTGATTATATTTATCTATTATTTATATTCATTATATTTATTAGTTATAGTTTATTTAATAAAGTTTTAATATTTTTTATTTTTATTATTATTATTATATTTATTATTTATATTTTTTAGTTATAATTTATAATTAGAATTTTAAATTATATAAATATTATATATTTTTCTTGAATTGAAAGGAAGATAACTCAAAATAGAGTTTTAAGATAAATTAAAAGTTCAATAAAAAAATTATATTAATTTATTTACTATTATTTTTTATTATATTTTATATAAGTATTATTTTAATTTAACATATTAAATTAAAATGAATCTTTTTTTTACAGTTATCAAGTCAACAATATAAATTTTTTATTTATATAAAAATAAA